TTGAACTAACCTAGAAAAGACATTCCCACGAAATGATAAAAAAAAAATGAAATAAAATTATCTAAGATGATAAGCAAGATCAATATTATAATTTAGATAATATGAAAAATCATTTTTTTTTTTATTAAAATATAATGTAAATTCGTTCATTGGTTATAAACATAACCTTAAAATACGGGAGCGGCCAGTCAGAAACTAAGCAAAGTGCCGCACCCTGTTCCCAATAAGTCGTTGCAACGTAGTACGTTCCTTTTTATCTGATCATATCTTTAAAGGATCGTTCACCTTGTACAACTCCTTTGTATTAATTTGATCCTTGATTTTAAACATAATCTCTAAATTTAATTATTTTCACGAGAAATTATTAAAAATATTTTTGATAGTGCTAAACTAAAATTTGTAACACGATCTTCCTGATAATAATTGTATCTGTTTGATTGTATTTTTTCTCAGTAAAAATATTTAAATACGTCATCACTTATTAATACAATTAAATATAAAACAAAAGAAAACAATTTAATCGTTCATTCGGATCACGTATTACGCATCCACATTTTCTTAACAAAAGCATTGCATGTGATTTCCTTGAAATGCATTTAAAAAATACTTGAATAAAAAATAAATAGAAGAAATAGTTAGTGACCTTGAGAAAGTATACTCTTATTACTATTACATAACATTTATGCGGTTGTTACTTTGAAACATAATTTTACAATCATCAGATTTCTTGAATATATTATAAATGAATATTTATATATCGACAAGATTCTCAGTTGGAGTAATCTCGAATCGTTTTATTCGATTCGATAAACTGACAAGATAATATCGCTTGGGTTAAGGAAAAGATACACTTTCGAAGAATACAATTCACTTCCAGGTGAATGAGCTGTACAAAGTAGCAAACGAAAGAACAGGCAAGCAAGCAAGCAAGCTAGCAGGTAAACAGGAGGGGTGAGGGGTGAGGGGTGAGGGGTGGGCTGGTGGAACTGGCAGGTGGATAGGTTCAAGGAGAACTTCTTGCTTGAAATCGAGTCTCGCAAATTACGCTCGACCGACGTTCTCGCAAGCCGATAAACGAGAAGAAAACGGATATAGGAGCAGCCTGCTTGAATTCGCGCTCCTATGCACACACACACACACACACATACACTTTTACTTTACTTTTCTAGCTTCGAATTACATACGACAGAATAACTGAGATATTCGAGATAAGGGAAACAAACAAGAAAAAAAACAAAAAATCAAATGTACGTTTTGCCTTGACTAACATCACTCATACTAACACAGTTTGTTATATGAATCATCTTTCTGCTAACGAACTACTCAAATGGTTTTTCCGCTACTTTGAAGTATCGTATTTTCGTTTTTCTTGACTAATGTTAAACGAGGTTTGTTTAGTTTAGTTTAGTTTAGTTTGGACGATGACTGAACGTAGATGTAATCGTTTTTTTTATTTTTACTGAAATATTACGTTGAATTTTTTTGCATTAGAAAATTAACGTTTTTTTGTAAATTATTTTTCTGAGTTTCTTGTCCTTTAAAAATTATACTGAAACTAGGATGCTAAGGTTTTGCGTAGCTGTGTGGTTTTGTTATAAAAAGTATTAATTTAATTTCATTCTAAATTAATTTAATGCAGTCAAATTAATATTCATTAATAATTTATTGGAATTCAAATTATACATAAAACAACATAAAATAAATAATAATGCACTGAAAAATATTAAAAGTAAGGTTATTAATGTCATATGTAAATCTGAAAAAAAAAAACGTGAAATAATTGAATCGTAGTACAACGTCATCTATTGAAAAATTCCAGTACCCAAAGACTTAAATAACCTCYAAATAAATAAATCCTTAAATTATCAATAAAACATAACAAATAATCGCGAATACTAACTTGAAAAAAAATTACTGTAAATAAATACTATAATAAATAAAATTACTATATAATACTAGTCAAATAAATTCGTTTGTCTATTAAACAAAATCTAAATCGTTTAAATATAATAAAAAATAATCTATAAACGTATAAAAATAAATTATTAAACAATTGTTTCTCATACAATAAAACGTGTAACTATATTGTATTATATTTTCAACTGCTATATATATATAATAACTCAGCTCTTGGAATTCATTACAATGAATCAAGTTGTCGTTGCTATGAGCACTTTAATACGGTACCCATCCAGTCTCTCGTTTAACACGTACGACTAAATGGATGTTGTGATATCCGAGGTCGACAGAAATATCTCGAGATAATGAATTTAGTTTAGTAATGGATACGTGCCTATCTTATAATGCTAGAACGATCCTATAATGGGATAGGAAGTGTGGGGTTCTTTCATAATAACTGTCCTTTACCAAAGAAACCAACCCTTCCTTTGTAACATACGAGTACAATCACATTTTTTTTAGCTACTTTTTTCAAAAATCTTCTTTATAACCTCTAAATTTTTCTTTACTACTCTAAATTTGGGCCTCTAATTGAGAATACAATAGGAAAATATAAAACGTTGATATTGTATTCTTGTGAGTTATCCTAAGTATCATTGTATGATGAATTATCGTTTTACATTGTGTTGGTAGAAAAATAAATCAATTCTCGTTCTAAGGAGAATGCGTTTTCTTATGTAAATTTTATGATTCGATTTTTAGGGATTCGTTCAAAAGCATTTCAAATTTTTCTATTCAGGAAGGAATGCGAGATAGTTGAATATGAGAAAGAAAATATTATAGAATAGCATCCTAAATTTATTTCACTTTCAAATTAAACTAGTCTCTTTGTTAACACTTTTATTTTTATTTTTTTTTTTTAAAGAAGAAATAAATAAAATGATAATTAAATTCATCGAATATCTTTTAAATATAATACTGAAAATAACAAATAATATTATACATGATAAAATATTATTATTATTATTATTATAGTGATAATAATACTAAGAAAATGATACAAACGTATTTTGATTTAACTTTCGAAGAAACTTTAATAAAGATATGAGACGAAGAAGTCAGGAAGTTGACGTCGGCGGAAGTACTTTTAAAGCTAACTAAATGGTGGGCCAATAACAGACTGGTTATTCGTATCGAGAATGTTAGTTGCATGCATGAATTCTAACCTTGAAACTCCGATAACGTCTAGAGTTACTTTACTGTTGTATAGACCACAATATCTTGGTTAAACCAGATTCTATCTACTTTTATCATACTTGCGGTTTACCTATATATATATGTATCCTGTGAAAGGAAACTAAACTTGATCGTAAATAATTATAAAAGTTAGATAGAAGATTATAATATGATACTAGGATAGTAATAAGAAAAAAAAAAAGTATCTCATGGTCAATGAAAAATAATAACTTATTTCCATATATTATTATTAACTCGTCACATGACGAATTTGAAGTATCTGATTCGTTTGAAGTAATACAAATGACTAACCTAACCTTCGAAATGATCAACATCTTGCCAATAAATGTTTATAATATTTTTTATAATACATTTAAATTATTTATCTTGATGAAATTTTGGTTTATTTTGTGTGATTTTATCCAACTTAAAAAATAAGATGGCTTTTATTGCAATTATTTTTATTTTTTTATTTATTAATTTAAGGATTTAATTATTTAGGGGGTATTTAGGTCTTTGAGTACTGGAATTTTTCAATAGATGGCATTGTATTACAATTCAATTATTTGAATATATTCACGTCGTACGATTTTTTCAGATTTTTATACAACATAACCTAACTTTTTCTATTTCTTTCGTATATTAATTTGACATATATATGTATAAATATTTATACATATTATAATAATAATAACATCGTTTATTTTTTTATCGATTATATTAAATTCGATTGATTGAAGTAGCATCACCGAAACGAGCAAACGTTGGAAAACCAGCATCATCAAGTTGCATCGTTCGTGTCAGATATCGATTCATCAAAGCGAGATTTGTGGTTCACGATTTTGAGGAAGGGAAGGGAAGGGAAGGGTAGGGAAGGGAGGAAGGGCGGAAGTATAACATGCAGTAAGATGCAATAAACTACTGCTCTTACCTCTCGCTTCTTGATGCATAAAATATCGAAGATTAAGCTGAAGTTTCACCTTTTGCGGATTATCGATGTATCCATGTTTTACGAAAAGGGTTCAAGAGAAATAACGAGCATGGTCACCCCTTCTTCTTCTTTTTTTTTTAATTTTATTTTTTTCTATCGTATTCTCAAGAGAGAGAGAATCAATTTTTTCTACTCAAAGTATAATCTTCTTAAAATCATCCAATAGATTTTCTTCGATTTTGTCTCAAACGTAACGTGCATAAAAATGCATACGCATACGCATACACACATGCACACGCACAGGTGCATAAGTGCAAGAGTATGCAAAGACTTTTCTTCTTTCATATTTTCCAATCTTCGTATATTATCCAGAATGTTTTCTCCTACATCGGTTAGGTATAACCTTTTAAACATTATTTATGATTATATCGATATAGAATAGTTCGATAACGGGGTGCTAAGAAATAAACTACCCCCCAACTCCCAACCCCAAACCTTCACTGTTTCTCTCACTTCATATATCTCGTGCCAAGGAAAAAGAATATTTTTCTATGATCATTATTTACCAAAGATCGTAATACTTGTCATTCATGATGCATAAAATGCAACCTGTGAGAAAAAGAGAGAAAGAGAGAGAGAGACCATAAAGAAAGAGAACTAACTTTTCACCCCTTCTAATATATTCCAGTGAATAATTGAATTTGTCATAAGCATTTTCACATTTATGAAAATTTTTAACGTAATTGCATCTCGTGTTAAAAAAAAATTAAAATGAAATGCAACGTGGTGAATAAAACAAACAAACAAAAATCTTGAATTTTCGTCCCATTTCTCCATTTCATTTGATCTTTTTGTCTTCTACTTTTCAATTTGAGAATTGAATCGTGAAATTCTAAATAAAAAATGATGATTTGTATTTTTGTTTAACTTAAAGGTCGTGGAACTGTTAGAGGGAACGATTCCATCGGAAGCGATGGAAGTCGAGGTATCTCATTGCAGAGAATTGCGAATCCAAAGCGGTGCATTCGCTGGCGGTGCACCATTGAAAAGGGTCCACGTATCCGATATCTACAGCGTCATAGCGAAGAGGCAGGCCTTTGAAGATTTGAGAGCACCTAACACACATTTAGAAGTTTCCGAGTGTAACAGCGTAATATTTGAGAGTCACGCGTTTAGAAATTCACGTGGTACATTGAGCGTATTGATATCCAGATGTAAACACGTTGCAATCAAACCAAACGCATTTTCTTGGTTATTGTGGATAACGGTGAAAGAGGTACCAACCTTGGAACTATCTAGCAACGCATTTAAATTTGAATCTGCGCAATATGGCAGACATGGACAAGCAACGAAGGTTCGACATCATTTTTTTTTTATTTAATTACATAACAATTTATTGTTATTATTTGTTTATATTTTGTTTTTTCGTAGATTATGTTCCAAAGCGTAAGAATTACTGAATTACCAACTGCAGTATTTCCATCATCGGTGGCAGAGGTACGAATGGACGATATTTGGACTAAGGTTATAAGAAAAGAAGCATTTTGTGCAATGTCAATCTTCCACGTGATCATCAGCAACGCCTCGATATCGGAAATAGAATCTGGAGCCTTCAGTGATAAGATTCTTATCGAGAGTTTAGAATTCGTTGACGTTAGATTGAAACTTATCGAGAGCGGTGCTTTTCGAGCTGGACATGACAACGTTACTATTCAATATTCCAGGTAAAAATACAAAAATATACATACGATATACAGGTAATCCTTCTGTAACCCAATAAACAAACATTCCTAAAAATTTAATTTAATATTAAACCGTGTTTTACAAGAATCTAAAGTGCATTGTTAAATGTTAAGTAAAAATCATGTTCCCATAGAAGTATGGTTTTTTATGAAAGGATTACCTGTGTACTATTATTTAAAAAAAAAAAAAAGATTGTATTAATTTGAAACGTATTTAATTTGATTGATAGATTATCCGATGTTAAATCCGGTGCCATTGATATATCAGCAGCAACTGTAACGTTCAGCAACAACGAATTTCAAAGTCTTCACAATCGTTCGATCGTTCTACATCAATGGAATCACATCGCCATTGAACATAATCTCTTCGTCGATCTCGAATCGGATGCTATCGTAGCAGAAATGGACGCCAAACCAATGAAATCGGCGCCAAAGTTCGAATTTTCGTTTACAGGAAATCACATAGAACATGCTTGGCCGGGTTCGTTGAAGTTTATCGGTATATCTCAGCAAGTTAATACAGCACGAATTGGTAATAATTATTTCAAAGAAAAGTGTAATTGCAAATTGGAAGATTATGTACGTGAAATAACTGGTAGAAACAATTCGGTATCGTGGATGATGGACTCGAGTTATTGCATGGTGGATAAATTTCTTGAAAAGTGTTTCAATTTACCGGAAGGTTATTTGGACATGAGAAATTTCACAAGATTGATCTGTGGAAAGGGTGACAGTCACGTTTATTGCGAAAAACCAATATCTAAACCTGAACCAAGTGTGAGTCCACCTAGCGTAGGTCCTCACGTTTATCCAAGACACAAAGGATACTTTGACGTTGAAATGAGCGATCCTGAACAACTCGAGCGTGAGAAAAGGATTATCGTGGTGATCTGCGTGGTAGCAGTTTTCATCGTTCTCGTAGTGATATTAACTTCGGGTATTTTATACATGAGAAGACGCGGTGTTTGTCCAAAGTTAACATCGGGTCCGCTGATGAATCTAACCAGCTGGTTCTCACCCAACAGTGGTATGACCGCTGCCACGTCGGCAAGATCGATATCCCGACTAAGTGTTCACGAATACGCTGGTCTTCAGCCAGAGACAAGAATACTAGAGGTTGAAACTCAGCCGGATGTTACCGAAGAGGAAGAGGAGGAGGAGGAAGAGGAGGAGACTGTTGGACTTTATCAGTACACCGAAGATAAGGCTACGCAAACATTACCGGAGGAACTAACAGAGGAGTACCTGAGGGATCTAAGAGATAGATTAAACGATCCCGATAATTATAGTCAAGCTAGAGATATGATCGAACATCTATACGATTTAATCAAGGTAGAAGAAAGTTGCAACAACAACAACGACAGACAGACGACGACCATGGGTAGTGGTAGGGGTGCATCAGGAGAGGAAAATACCTACGACGTGATACGTCCCAAAACGAAAAAGCAACGTGGACCTGGCAAACCTTCGGTCAGCGTTGGTACAAGAGTCCCGTCCCTCGAAAAACTTTTACCGACAGGTTTATTAATAACTAGACCTACCATAACCGAATACACGGAACCGCGTGACCAAAGAACCAACGATCAAAATCATTTGTATGCCGAGTTACCTGGTGACGAAACGGTTCCCAGTACAAGTCGTCTCTCACAACCGGTTCTGGCAACTTTAGCTGGTAGAGCACCTCAACCTTTACCACCGGACGTAGTAAACGATCATATTCTCGTTAATGGTTGTTCCACAAATAGAGGAGAACAGCAAAGAGAACTCGACGTTCCAGAAAGTCCAAAGTTGGAATCCCTCAGGAATCATCAACAAGGGAGGCCGATGAGTTTCTTGAAAGCTTTAGGAGAGAGTATTCTCGGTGCAACTAAGATCAATAACAATAGCAAAAGGCCGAATTCCTTGTTGTGCGAATACGCCGAACCCTCCGATGCTACCGCTCATCTTTACTCCGAATTACCGGAACCTCAAACTTCAACACCGGCCGCTAAAATGGCAAACAGACCACTGCCTACCAAACCCGATCAAGAATCGAGTAATACGGCTAAAGCGTAATCACGCTTAACACCGATTAATCTGTGATATAAATATTATGTGTTAATGTATTGTGTCGAGAATGACTGACGATTATGACTATGATAAAATGTTTATCAATTTCCTCGTAACTCGTATCGTTTTCATCGTTCATGCTCCTCATTTTACAATTTTCATACTAAACCGTATAAAATATGAAGGAGCATTTTTAGTGGGAGAACAAGTTTTATTATTAAGTTGTAAAAATGATTAAAGAAAAACATATCGAGAATTAATAGTGTAAATTGGATTTTCCGTATATCATGAAAATATATTTCTATCAATCAAGATTTATGTTAATGTTGGTCGCGTGTGATTGAAAATAATCTGACGCGTTGTTTCTTTTTTTTTGATTCTTTAAATTACTCTACCATCGAAATAGACATTATAATATAACGTAGTGCAAACTTTGATGGGGCACACTTTGAACTTTGAGAAAGAAAAAAAAATGGACAAAGATTGACCCGTTCACATTTTTTTTCTTTTTTATAATTTAAATCGACTATTTTCGAGATACTACAAATGTACAATATCGATTTACGTGTATAGTTAGAGAAAAAAAAAACAAATATACTGCGACAGGTATTAATAAAAAAATAATATTTTACAAGGACCACGAAATATGTGTCTTCATTGTTTTAATTATTATTATTATTATTATAATTAACATTATGTGATAATTTCTGAATGGCACCAACGTGAAGCTACCGACATTTACCCAATAATTTTTACATGGCACCAACGTGAAGCAACCAGCACTAACCCAAAGTTTTCACATGGCACCAACATGGTGTCACCGGCATTTACCCAATAGTTTTCGCATGGCACCAACGTGGAACCACCGGACGTCATAATATTAATATATAAATCATATTAACTCCCCAAAATTCAATCTTTATTAAATGACTAGGTCAAAATTCATGTAATCAGATTACATCAAAAAATATTTTCTGTTATCTTAGTCTCTTTATCGTCCTTACTTATGCCCTAAAACGTTGTAAAACTCTTGCATATCTATTTCTAGTATAATACGTGTAACCAGTACTATCGTTTAATACTTTAGACTATCCTCAAGTTCTTATCTCTTTCGAAAAGAATTTTTACGATACTAAGACACGATCTTTTCTCTTACGTAGTATAAAACTCCCTCGTTAGAAGTCTTTCTACGTCAAGTGGAGTTCAAAGGTCTGTAGTAACTGTAGTATTTTCCCTTTTTTTTTCTTTCTTTCTTTCTTTTATTCCCTTCACTTTCTTTTTTTCTTATTTTGTCTTTGCTTTTCTCTTTCGTTCGTAGTGGTGCTTCGAAACACACTTAGAAATCTACTCTTCTTGAAAAACGTAAAAAAAAAAAGGATAGTAAGCTTTTGGAAGAGTGAAAAGGAGAGAAAGAGAAAGTGAGAGTGGGAGAGAGAGTTTGAGAGAGAAAGAGAGAGAGAGAGAGAGAGAGAACAGGAAAAGTCAGAAAGAGAAGAAGATATTCTTAATCTTTCTTTCTCTTTCTCTTTCTGTTCTCTTCTTTCTGGGCGTAGTCGGTGTATAATCCAAGAAGACGCGAGACCAAACTATTCAACATGGAATGCGAGAGAAACAAATAGAAGAGAAATCCGACTAGCTTTTGCCCTCGGCATCTTGGCCCTGTGTGGAATACACCACAGCCTGCTGTGTCGCAGCTGTTCACAAGAGTTCAAAAAACATTTTACATTTTATTCTCTTTTTCAAATTCATTCTAAATGATTTTCAAAATTCCTTTACCTTTCAATAATTAATTACAAAAAAAAATATATATATGTATATATATAACAAAACATTGATTTTATTTAATTCTGAATTATTTAATGCAGTCAAATATTCACTACTAATTTCTGAAAATTCAAATTAGGAATAAAATAACATAAATTTTTTAAATATTTATAATATATAATTTGTACATAATAACACATAAAATAATATCACAATTAGAATGGAATATATAATAAAATAATACACGAAGAAATAGAAAAAGTAAGGTTATGTCGTATATAAATCTGAAAAAAAAGCGTGAAATAATTGAATTATAATACAACGCCATTTATTGAAAAATTCCAATACCCAAAAACCTAAAAGCCCTCTAAATAATTAAATCCTTAAATTTATATATAAAGATTTATATATATATATANTATATATATATATGTTGTATTCATTTAAATATTAAAATAATTTAAGTTAAACATTTTTAAACAATATTTTCAAAAGTATAAAAAATTTATCACAGCAATTAAAATCGATTTTTAAAATCTCAAGATGGTGGTATAACCTCACTTAAATGTTTCAGTACAAATCACGAGATCGTAAAAAGATCACGTGATCGTGATAATCTTTTCGTATGAAGAAAATACAAAAAAGAAAAAAAAAAAAGAAAAGATTGGAATAAAAAACTTAGTTGGAAAATATATTATACAGTCTTTATCTCGGGTATTGCAATGGCCGTCGACAAGGCAAAAGGAACGAGGATGATAGTAGCTCGAGTTATCCGAAGTAGTTCGGGGTCCTATCGTGCACCACCGATTTCGTCGGATTGTTTATGGTGGTCCATTACTCAGATAAGAGTGTCATTTCTCTCGAGACCGGCTGCTAGTCGTGAAAAGTCGCGGGCTTGAGTGGTGTGGGTTGGGTGAAGGAGGGGGGATGGGGGAGTTAAAGGAGGGGGGAGGCTAACGAGTTCTCGACGAGAAGCAATTTGTTGCTTCCTTTCCACCTTCGATCTTCGTTTTCTTACAAAGAGGATTTTTCCAACGGTAAACGTTACGTTATAATAAACGACTATTTTATAAGTCCCATTTAAAAAAAAAAAAAAAAAAAAAACCTGAAAAAAATACAACAGGCAGAATATTCGTTTTTGTTTACGCAGATAAATCGATAAGAAAATAAAAATAGAAGGGTTTTAAATAATATATTGTTAATTATTATAGATTAATATACAATAATACATGGTTTTACCTTATGGTGTTTCATGGTAATAATTATTAAACAATTATTGCAAATACTTTTGTCACACTGCTGTTCAATCATTCAAACAATGGGTATAATAAAATCTACGAGTTTATTAAATAAATGAAACAAATGTTGGGGTTATGAAAAATTGTACAATGAATTATTATTAATTAAATAGATTAGTTTAAAAAAAAAAAAAATTGTATCAATTTAGATCTCAATTTATGAATACAATAGAAATTACTTTAACCTAACGAGGTATAATAGAAGAAGAAAAAATTAAAGGGTCATCTTAAAAAGCTTTTGTTAAATAAAGCTTTTCTTGATAACAAAATATAAAATAAAATAAAAGAGTAGTTAAAATAAAAAACAAAAATATTCTAAACCGGAAATGCGTGCAAGTGAGATTATAGCCAAGTTGCAATGATGGCGTGGGTCGTGTGAGAATAATCCGTAGGGCAGCCTGGCAAACTCTATCATGTTTCATCAAGCAGCCAATCATTTCATCACTCGGATGGTTGGTACCTCTTCTCCCATCCGATTTGCGGAGGCTCTAACCTGTTTCTCTGGTCCCTGACCTAATCCCTAAGAGATACCACGACAATCGATCGAGGTATGCCGGAGGATATCTTCAAAGGATACGAGACGATAATACGTAAAGGGATAGGGATAGGGCTACGTAAACCGTTCGAGAAACTGAAATCACGAAGGGTCTTCTAGGTCGTACGGCAAAGCCCTATGCTCCCTTCCTCTTACCTCTTTCCATTTAACGAGCTTTCTAAGATTTATCCGATAAATACCAATTTACTCTCTGTCTTTTTCTTTTTAAAGAGGTTAAAACCTAACCTATCTGTTTTATATCAAATTGGAAAGAAAAAAAAGACCTTAACTCAAAAAAAAAAAAACAAAAAGAAAAATGGAGACGTTAAATCATTTAGTTTGTTTTATCTTACGAATAATTTACCCCCACCATCATTCCAACCTCACGAGATATACTTGCAACTTTGTTACTAATCAAAATAAACTTTTTTACGTGTTGCAAGAAAGTTATGCTCATGAATATATATATATATATATATATATTTTTTTTTTTCTACAAACTTTTGGAATTTCAAAAATAATATTAGGTAGAATTTTTTTTGTTTCTTTCTGAACATTTGAGACAATTTGTTTCACTTATTATCGTATTTGCAATACTGTACATCATGGTATTTGTAAAATTAACTACACCGACGATCATCATCTCTACTTTCGTTACAGTGGTGCCAACAACTTTCGAAAAGTTTTGTGAAGCGTACTAATGGAAATTAGATTCATTCTCTCTCTCTCTCTCTCCCTTTCTATGAACAAACGCTTTGTTTTCAGTTAGTACACACGTTGGACGGAAGTTGTTTCGCGGTTTATTACGTTTCACCGCATCGACAATACTTCAAAAGAAATTTTATTGACAAATAAATCATCCAATCGGATAAATTAACACTAATATGAATTTAATAATATATTTGCATAATCTGAAAGACAATGATTGATGTGTTATTTCTAAATAATAATAATAAAAATAATTAGGTTAGATAATCATCCAGTTACTATAATAGGTGTCAATATATATATATAGAACAATTTAATTCTAATCATAAGTAAGGTTATCTTTGAACGACATATGATTTCGACTAACGTCCAATCGACGTTTCTATTTCGTCATGACTATGATATGGGGTAGGTGCAGCGGGGTTAAGGGGGAACCTTGGTGTTCCCTAATATCCACCGTCTGTGCCTTACGATCCGACGTGTCACGTGTCGCAACGATATTGCAACCGAAGGGTCTAATGGACCTTTAAATCGAATATCTCTCTATATACAGTCAGTCACAGAAATATTCAACACACCTACTTTTTCTCCTTTTTTGCAATTTGATAACCTTTCTTTTTCTAGGTTCAGCAAGATAATATGAAATCTTTATTGGATACTCAAACAAAAGAAAATGAATGATTAATTTTATAAATCATTTTTATTATATTTATTTACGAATGTTTGAATTAAACCTTTGAGTACTAAGTACTTTGAGGTTAAGTGTTCAATAATAGGGCGGGAATATTTGATCAGTTACATGTTTGTTTTGTTAATTTGATTTTACTTAAAATAAAATATATTTTTTAATTTTAATTTTAATTAACTGTAAATATATATGTTACCAATTTTGTAATATATTATTTTAGTATAGTATATGTTGTTTATAACCTAAAAAATAAGAAACGTAGA